CTCTCTGTTCGGGATTGACGGAAATCAAGACGGGACAAGTTAAATACCCTAGTTTACTTGTACAAGACTTTTTTTTTTTTTTTTGGCCAGAGAAAATATAATTCATTAATAAAGAAACAAAGAAACAAAAGAAATAAAAAAGCCCAACAAGAGGGACAGCAAACTAAAGCCCATAGACAGCACAAATCCTAAACCTAACAGCAAGATAAACCAAAAGGAGCAGCCGCCGTCAAGTTCACCAGAGAGCCCCACCGTCTTGTCGCCGGAAACTGTAGAGAGGAAAACGCCGTCATCGGCAATGATGCCAAAGTAAAGGGTGGTGGTTTGAAAAACCCATCCCGAAGGACCCATCCTTTTTGTCGGCCAAAGAACAACCAAAGATGGTTGAAAAGCAATCATGAGAAACCCATAGAAGCTAGAACACCCACAGTCACCGGCAGCAAAGAACGACGCCAAAGGAGGAAGATAACTCAACTTTGGCAACCCACCGTGCAGCACCATTTGATGAAACTCGTACCCTTCATCAATGTCTTGGATCTGCCACTGCCGACCAACACCAACGACTGTCATAGAGTATTTGGCAACTGAAGTAGGGACGATCGTCGACTGAAACCTTCCCCCCAAAACGCAAATCCAAGCCATCAAGTCTAGGTCAGAACTATTACCTTTCATCCTAACATCAAAGATGAAGGTGCCGCAAGCAAAAAACACATATCTGATAATAGCCGAAGAAACAGAACACACCACCAATAAAAACCCATTAACACACAAATACAAACAAGAGACGGACGTCCCCTTCTCCGACGGAGAACGCCGAGAAAGGGGACGCCGTAACGGTCGCTCGCCCAAAAGCGAGGAAAGGTAAGCTCTCACTGCTCAAGAGTTTTCTGGAGAGGGAGAGGGAGAAGCTCGCCCCAAAGGCGAGTACTTGTACAAGACTTTGTAGCTTATGTTTTCATAATCAAAATATTTTGCCGGGGAAAAGAAAGGAGGAAACAGTTCCTCCTTCCCTATCGAAACGGCGCGCATCAGCGTCGAATGCTCACTCCTATGCCGCCATGCGTTAAAGTTCAAACGGTTGCTGGTCAAAAAAAAAAAAAAAAGGTTTAAACGGTTAAAGTAAATTTCTCTTCTGTCGTGGGCTGAAAAGAAAATTACTCTTTTGCACATTACATTGTTGTTCGAAAAACGAGTCGAGCAGCATCAACAAGAAGCAGACAAGATCGATAGAGCGAGAAGGCAGGACTGAGCACGGAGGAGAAGGGACTAGAACTCCCGGTAGAAGGAGAAATTCAACTAACCCAACAATGGCGATTTCTGGCGATCTGAGGGTCTCTGCAACGCTTCCACTCCATCACTCTTACCCCCGTCAAAGTTCATTGTCATCCCCGAAGGTCTGAAACTTTTCTCGTATTTATTGTTCCATTTCTGTTCGTTTCGTGCTCATGGGGTGAAGGGTCGAGTGTTTTTGCGGTTATAGCCATCTGATTTCTGATAATGTCTTGGAGGACTCGATTAATAAGGAAATTCAATGAGAACGTGTCAGAGGTTTAAGGGGATGGTGAAACCCCAATTCCCTCCCCCCCCCCCTCCTTTTGCTACGTTTCCCCAGCCACGAATCTGGGAATTTGGGGATTTTGGACTTTGTGAAGAGTTACATTGGGTAATTGATTCTTCGAGGAATTCATCTTTTATTCACATGGGTTTGAACTTTGGGGTCTTAGTCACAGATGGTTTGAACTTTGGGGTCTTTGTCATCTCTCTATTTTCGTCTGTTGATGGTAGATGGCAGGCCTGGTTAGAGCAGTTTAACTAGTTATTCTTTCTATTGAAATTGCAGTATCGCTTGCAAGTGAGGTGTTATTGTCAAATTAAACTTGAAGGGGCAAAATAAAACGAAAGATGAGATATGCAATATTTGGGATGGTTGCTGAGGAAATTTTATATAAGTTTTTGCAATCTTCTATTATTTTGTGCATTTAAGTATCTTGTTGCAGGAGTTCTAGCTGTTTACCTTGTCAGTGACGAAATTTTGTTCTGTTATGTATGGGGCAAGAATGAGATGAAGTATGAGTCTATGTTCACCAAGCCTGTATTAATTGATGGCCTTAAGCTATGTTACAGAGCTGGCACTTGTTAATATCGTTGGGAAAATCTTTGTTTGCATGCACAGAGATGTCCTTGTTTTGCTTATTTATCATGCATTTTGAGGAAAAAAGGATGAACTTTGTGAAAGATGTGCCAGATGTTACATAATGTCTCTGCCATGGGCTCTTTGTGAAATCCTGCGTGTATCAAGCATATATTCGTTTGTCCTTTTTTTTTTAAATTTAAATCTTGGGTTGAAAGTGATGGAGGAATCTGATAAACTGACTTGCATGAGTTGTAATTTAAGGACCCTGTAAATGTCTGAGAGTTTGCCATTATACTTGATGGAATCAGATTCAGAACTGTGTACTTGGACATTCCCCAATTTGTGCTTGGATGCTTAGTATGTTTAAAGACTATGAAATACATATTCTACTTAAAGGAAAGAGATTCATAATTTTTCATCAGGTGGTTTTACATGGGTGCCATTGCTTAAGTGCTGCATTGGTTATTATGGAAGATTGAAGGATATAAAAGAAAACTAACCTCATCATGTAAATGTCAAAACATAACAGCATTTGCACAGTGAAAATGTCTTCACCTGCTTTATTCCTTAGCTTTTCTGTTTTATAGGTAGACTTCTCTAGTTCCTTGAATGGGGCATCCAGCATCACTGAATTCACACCAAAGTATCCCAGCATGGCAATTAAACATCATGGTATGCGCAGTCAGTGGAAGCCAGTTTCTGGAGTCAGTGGAGATCGTAATGCATCACCAAAATTTGCTACCCAAGAAGCTGAGAATTTTCTCCTTGATGCTATTAACATGAGCTTTTTTGAACGATTAAGCTTGGCTTGGAAAATAGTTTTCCCATCAGCAGTATCTAAAAAAAGCTCAAATGCTAGGATTGCCAAGCAGCGTCTAAAGATGATCTTGTTTTCTGATCGATGTGAAGTAAGCGACGAGGCAAAGCGCAAAATTGTTAACAACATTGTGCGTGCTTTGTCTGACTTTGTGGAAATAGAATCACAGGACAAAGTACAGTTGAGTGTTTCTGCTGATACCGATATTGGAACTATTTACTCTGTGACGGTGCCTGTCCGGCGTGTTAAGCCAGAATATCAAGATCTGGATGAATATGGGACAATAACAAACATTGAGTACAAGGATGTTGGAGATAGTTCAGGTTCCGTTGATGTTAGATTTGATTTTTATGTTCCAGATGAGAGGTCTTGATGTCTGAACTGAAAGCTTGTTTCACAAACTATTGATCAATCTGTGTTAGGAATTTTTACTAGTTTAGCTAAGTTGTAACCGTGTATATATTTGAGACTTGAGTAAGAGAAGACTAGCAGCTTTTGAGTTTTGATTATACCACCTTTATTTTGTTTGGTTTGGTGCGTAGCTGAGCTAAAAATGACTTGTTATTTGCAATGAGATTTATGATAAGTTTTTCTTTGAAGTCATTAGTATGGATAATGTGACCCTCCTCCTTCTGTTAAATTCAATTCCTGCTGGTTATAACTGATGTTATCTATGTAGCACAATAGCGAATTGGCATATTAGTCTTCTTAAGAATGGAGTTCAGGGGAGAAAATTTTAGTTTTTCTTCCGCATATTACCTGGTCTTGTTCATATTCAGAGGAAACATTTTAAATCTATACTTGTTCAATTTTAATTTTTATCTCATAATTGCCGTTTGGGTGCATCATAAGGATACGATGAGACATGAAAGCTTAAGCCCTCATCTTGTTACAAGAGAAAAATGTTTTTAATTATTTACTGTTGTGAATCTCAAATAATTTAGTCTTTGAAAATTCTTTTATTATTCAGTAATCTCTAATCAACTAAAAACTCAACTGATATTAAAGGATGCATGCCTTTGTTCAAAAGGGTTAATGGCTTAATGCCTAAGATCTGTATATAATAGAGAAATTACAGTAGGTCGGACAAATCATTTTTCATGTTTTGAATATTATAAGTGCGGACGTCTATTCCTCTCTTTCTCTTCAACTTCATCACATAACTTCTACTATTCTTGCTGGGTATTATTCCTTCGCTTCATTACTCTTTTATTATACTTTTAATCTTATAACTCATCTCCCACCTACATTCATGTAGTTTATGCTCTACTATTTATAATTTAAAGATAAGTATAACCTATATGTAAGGCTATGCTTATAAATAGAACATATCATTATATTGTGATATAAGTAAAGCAAGTAAAGGAATACAACGTACTTCTCTTATTTTCTTGTCTTCATTTCTTTTCTACTTTACTTTTTTTGGTAACTCATTTTATAACATATTGGACATTATTGTAGAGGATTCATAATAGATATCTCGTTTTCTCTTTTGTGATAGATATATAATAGCCTAAGAGTTATTTAAAAACTATACTTATTTTTTTAATAATTAAACCGTACTAAAATATATAAAAGTTCAATAACAAAAATAGTTACACAATGATGTGTGTGGACAAAAATTAAAACAAATAGAAAAAGATTGTAAGAAACCGAAAGAGAGCTGAACTATTTAAAACTTATAAATAATAAATAATAAATTTTTCAACAAACTAATCATCAGCACCCATTTTTTTCCGTCGAGCCGGCTTAATCTAAATTAGTTTTCTTCCCGAACAAAGAATACGACAGTTTTCAAAAACGGGAATTGAACCCGACGTGAATCGAACACGCAACCTTCTGATCTGGAGTCAGACGCGCTACCATTGCGCCACGGATCCGCTGGGTGGGGTGGTGCTTGTCTTTTATTTAATAACTAATGATTAATTGGAATTTCAAATTTCCCCCTATTCAGGAAATTGGCATTCTTGGCGCCAATCACAGTTCGAACTTCGAATTGGGCAATTTCTCGGTTGGTGCACAGAGTATTGTCTCTTCTGCGGGGGAAGAATGAAGAAAGACTACCTGGAATTGCAGTTAGAAGACCCAATTGGCGATGCTATCTCCAGGATTCAGTTCGCCCCTAACTGTAGCAATCTACTCATATCTTCATGGGACTCCGTAAGTTCGAATCTGTTTTTCTTCAGTCCCAATTTCTCTTAATGTGTTGAGTTTTTCTGAGTTAAGCTTTGGATTTCTGACACCGCTGGAAGTTCCTGGTCTCTGATTGACGAATTTCTTGCAGAGCCTTCGCTTATACGACGTGGACAATTCTGTGCTTAGATTAGAAGCCCCTTCAGAAGCGGCGCTTCTGGATTGTTGTTTCCAGGACGACTTGGTTGCTTTCGCCGCTGGTTCTGATGGATTAATTCGAAGGTCTCATTTTTATTTTTAAAAAAATTTATCCATGGTATAGCTGTTTATTTATTGCTAATACTCAGCGTTAATGATGTTTTCGGGCATTTAATTTGTCTTCATGATTAGAAATTAATAACTTTTTAAGACTTCTGATATCATTTTTTTACCTGAAAATGCTTCATATATTAGTCAAAATAGTACGTCAGCACCGAAACATAGCAACCTGGGAATATTCAAACGACAGAGGGGCAGCACAAAAGATATGCTCACCCGACCCAACTTTCCTCACGAGCCAAACCTTCATCTCCAGTTGAGACAGTTTAGACGGAAATAAGTCCATCCAATAGTTTAGAGGAGGAGATGGCCAATGCGCCCATCCAGTAGGACACACCTCTTTACCAATGCCTATGGCAATGTAGTCTGCTGCATGGTTCCTCTTTCGAGGAGTTGGAGAATAGGAGAATCTAGTCACAGAAAGAATGCTATCCAAAACTTCCTTGCATCATACTGCTATACTGTCATTCACAATAATCAATTACTTCATCCAAGGAGGGGAAGATGTCAGCATTATCACTTTTAAGAATGCTGTTCTTGCAGATCCTGTGATCGTTGGTGGGCTAACCTGCTAAACGCATGAATTAACTATTTCTTGCTGCCATCTTCCAATAGTGAGAAAAGACTTTAACTTCATTCATCCTTTCTTCACAGTTGGCATCCCAAAATTCTTGGATGTTCTTAGAAGTAGTTTAAATAGTTTTGCATGGGTCAGGCTGTTTAGAGTTAAACACAGCATCATTCCTTTCTTTAATAGAGACCAACATAGCCACATTACAAATGCTTTCCCATAATAGTCTAGTAAGCTGTTTTTCATCGTCATATCAAAGCACCAGCCACCAAAATTATAAACATTGCTAAGTTCAAATCTCAAAGCTAAAGAACTCCCAAACCAAACACATTGAACGTGCTTTGACTTCAAACAAAAACCTTATTTTCCGTTTGCAGCATAGTCATGTTTCATTTTATAATTTCATCAACGTGCTTTGACTTCTCTAGAGCTTCACGTCGTCAGGTATAACTTGCATTTGGGAATTATTGATAGAATGGGCAATCATGACGATGTAGCAACATGCGTTGGATATGCCAATGAAATATGTAAGCTATCTCAACTAACCTTTCTACCTTAGTTCTTCGTCTCAAGTGGTTTATGTTCTAATTGTTGATATGATATTGAGAGGCCAAATGCAGCAACTGTATAATTGGACTTAAACTAAATAATAATACTTCATTCTTCTTTTTCTCTACCCTTGTCCTAGAGAATTGCTATTATGCATACATTTTGCTGTTTAGAAATGGCAGAAGCAGAAGATAAAGGAAATGTTGCCTCGTTTGTTGTTGCAGAAAGATAGTAAATGTTGGCTTTGTTCATGAAAAATGACATACTTAATTGATGTTTATTATAAATTTTGTCGAGTTCTTAAAGTTCATAAAGATAAAATTGATGAAAAATGGTTTTAGGCAGAATAAAAGGTCTAAATTTGAATGTAATAATTTCCCTGCTTATGTACAAAACACTGGCATGCTGTGTTGTCTCTAATAGTTAGGAAAGATCCGTAATCATTCCTGTTCCTGGTAATTGAAGGTCAGTTGATCACTGCCGGATTTGATAAGTTATTGTTGTGGGATATTCGTATGGAGAAGGCTCCTTCATGCTCAAAAATTCTAGGCGCAGAGGTGAACTCCATGTCTGTCTCTAGGTTGAATCTGACGGTTGGAATAGGAACATCAGTGCATATCTATGATCTTCGTTATTTTGACAAACCAGTTGCATCAAGTGAACCACACAAAGGCACACAGATTAGATGTGTTAGTTCAATTCCTTACACAAGAGGTATGATGACCTTTTCAGTTTGATTTGTTTGATTTGAAACAGGTCACACTGACATGTTAGTGCTTCTATAAGAAGATATGCCAATGACACTGCTTTTCTAATTTCAATTGCAGGATTTGCAGTTGGGTCGGTAGATGGGAGGGTAGCATTGCAGATTTCTGATTCTTCTAGTTCAAATGACATTGAGTAAGTTTTATAACCCTACACATGGCTCCTTTCCCAACTTCATAATCCCTCAAACTGCTATGTAACCAAAGCCAAATGAAGCCGCTGACCATGCAGTTCTTGTCTTCCTTTGTTATTCTCCTCCTTTTGCTAACGTATATATGTCTTCCCAGACAGGGATCTATGCATTACCGTTTATTTTCCTATTGCATTTTCTTTTTGTCTCTTTAGCGAACAAAATTATTTTCTTCTCTCTGATTGAGACTATTTAAGGATCTGGTCCATTCTGGGATAGCTGTTTCAAATTTTATAATCTTGCTGGTATTCTGTTCATATCCGTAGTGGCATGAATCTAATTACACGTGAGGGATAAGGACTCAAGTTTCATGAGCATAGCATATGGATTTATGTTGTTGAACAGAATTAGGACACAGTTTTTAGTGCGTGACTGCTTGGTTTCAATATGAGGGGGAGGGAATTTTGACATCTTCGATCACTTTCTAATTCTAGCTCTGTTCAACATTCATAAGCTCAACATGTAATTTCATTTCCTCTTTCCATTTTTGGCCTCCGTAAGCCATAATTTCTTTCCTAATTTCCTTCAATATGTCTTACAGATATTTACGTTTCCCTTTTCTGGTTTCCAACATGGTATGTCGGAAAAAGTTCAGCTTTTCGGCTGATTTTTGTAATGAAAGGTGCTTACAAATTTCCATGTCAAACTTTGTCGTAGATTTATATTCCGGTGTAATCCTAAATCGATGGATGGAAGACATCATTTGGCATCAGTTAATGACATTATATTCAGTCCACTGTAAGTTCCTTGCCAATAACCATATAAACATTATAATTTATAACTATTAATACTTTATTAATTTTTTGGTTAGTGTTCAAGGTGCTTTTGCCACTGGTGACAATGAAGGTTATGTGATTTTATGGGATGCTAGTAGTAGAAAAAGACTCATTGAGGTATTTGCCTAGAAACTTGCATACTTAATCCTATGTCTTGTGGCATTCGACTAATGATGTATGTACCCTGTGGGCTGCTTCATTCGTGCATCTATATACACTCGAGATTTCATTTCAACTTTACTTCCGTTTTTCTCAATTTCAGTTACCTAAATACCCGAATAGTGTGGCATCCTTGTCATACAACCACGTGGGACAGCTTTTGGCTGTGGCTTCAAGTTACACATACCAAGAAGCAAATGAGATGTTAGTGATTACTCCCATGTCCTCCACTCATTTCTTCTTTATCATTTGTAGATTCTGATATTCTGTTATCAATATTAATATTATCTTTGCTTTGGCTTTCTTATTCTATTTTCGGAAAGGGTATTATCATCTTATTATTTGTAGAAATTCAATATTTAGCCTCCTTAATAATGTCATCGAGAATCTAAGTTACACACACCAAGAATCAAATGAAATGTTTGTAATTTTTTGCTTATTTCTCCACCACTCGTTTCCTCACAATGAAACAAAGAATACGTCCAAGGATTCCTCACTTAATTTGACTGCAGGCAAGGAGATTAATAAAGAAATATATTGCTTTTGAGTTTTGACTGCAATCTTTGATCTATTCATTTGGTTGTCAGCTAATTGCCCCCTTCATCTTGACAGAGAAGAACCTCCTCGTATCTTCATTCACAATACGGACAACATCAGTATTAGATCAGTTTCTGCCAGCAATTCTGCTAGTAGAAGCTAAGCTTGCCAACAAAGGTATCAATACAGTTGGAGGCGGAAAGAAATGATCCGCAACATGTGCTGTTCATTCATGTACAACAGAATGGTGATCTAGTGGGTTCTGCTAGTCTTTTGATCTCTAACTTCCCACGCTCTAGCTTGTGTTTAATTCTCTTCCTAGATGGTGCCTTGATGAATGATTTGCAGGTGAAGGGTTTACTTGGGAATTGATTCACTCACTAGCTTCAGTCGAGTCACTTCCTAGATCTAGCTCAAGAAACCAGGCTGCGGTATTATGAAGGAAATGGTGCTTCTGATATGACAGTGAGCTTTTTCTAAGAAACGCATGTTGATTTTTAGTGAAGGCCAAGCAGCAAAAGGTCTTTGTAAGTTATTTTTATAGAAGTACCTTTCAGACATTGAAATTGAATTAGATTATATAGGGGGCGGATATTCTCAGGTTGAAAAATTGTATTCCTTTGTTGACAATTCCATTCACTCTGTTTCTTACATGTGTACTCATTTGTCTACAATTTAATATAACTCCATTTTGACGTTGGAATGAAAATGACAGCCGTAACAGATGAAATGGGAGCAATCATGGTTGCGTCACTTGAGTCCTGGTGCAAAAGGATAAGGTTTGGTGTGTGTGTGTGTGTGTGTGTGGGGTTCATTCTCGAATGAATGGGTTTTGCTTTCCCATTGTTTTAATATTCTTTTTTTCCCAAAAAAAAATACTCTTAACCCATAAATCCGACCCATCATGAAATATCTTCAATATAATAGGTATACATACACACATACTTGTCTTGTTGTGAGGACATAAGCGTCATAAAACTATGTTGCATTGTATGTATTGTAAATTGTAGGCGTCAAAGGAAATGTCGTGACTTTTGACCCAAAAAAAAAGAGGGAAAAGTCGGGACAAAAATAAATAGTGTGAAATAGGCTATGCATGTAATTTTAATTATGAGAATAAAATTTTAGCTAACATTTAAACTTTATGTAAATGGGGAAAAAGTTAAAGAAACAAATTATAAATAAGTGTTTACGAAAATATGATTAGTTGAACTACTTGTCTTACAATATAATTGAAGTTTTCTTTTCTAGCATAATATAATTGAAATTTTAAAGGAAAATAAAAAATCAAGTAGCTCGTATATGAATTTTATGAGAAGTTAATTTTCTAAAAGCCATGATTAATTACAAAAACAATCCCAAAAGGTGAGTTTTCTTTTCGGCCTTCTATTTAGCATTCTTAATAGCGAGAATATATAAAAGGATTATGATTTATGAAAGGAAATTAATTAATCATTTTAAAAGGATCATGAGTTATTAAAATGATAGGGAATGAATGAAAATATTTTTTTATATGCAAAAATGAATGAAAATATACCTGATTGGCTTTATATAAAAAAATGACAAAAGATGAAAACCACTTACAAGTGAGTCATAAATTATAAATCCTGAAAGTTTAATTATAAATATTGGAAACTTAGCTGTAAATAGGGGAAGATTAGTTGCCATTCCTTTGTAAGCTGGAGAAGTTTTTGAAATAGTGAAAATTTAATTTAAAACTCATTTACAACTAATCTTCTATTATTTACAACGATACTTTTAATATTTAGGATCAAGATTTCGCCATTTCTAAGGTTTCTTTTACCAGCCATTTATAAAGTTAAAACCTTCATCTTTGCTTTCAGAAAATCAAGTTTCTCATATTAGATGGTTACTATAATTAATTATATAATATTATATTAATTATACTAAAAAGTTAAATAATAAATATGTAATAAATTATATATTTTTCTATTCCTTAACATAATCATCTCCCCTTCCTCATAAAATCGCGATTACCCTGTTCTACCAGGTTCTCTGCTTCTTGTCTCGGCTCTCTCTCTCTCTCTCTCTATCACTCTTTTCTCTCTCTGGTTTTAGGCGGAGCCATGTCGGACGAGGAGCATCATTTCGAGTCCAAAGCCGATGCCGGAGCTTCGAAGACCTTCCCTCAGCAGGCCGGTACCATCCGTAAGAACGGTTACATTGTGATCAAAAACAGGCCCTGCAAGGTTCCTATCTTTTCTTTTCTTCAATTTCCACTTATCCTTTTGTTTCTGCTTCCTTGCATCTGTTGTATCTCAATTTCTTACTCCGGATCGTCACTTAGATGTACTTATTTTATATTTTCTGGGAGCTTTTTGGGATGGGGGACAAATGTTTTCAATTTGCTTATTAAGGTTATATGTGGCTGCAATTTCATTTATTGTAACTTTACCTCTTTTTGATTGAAAATTGTTGTATCGCTTTTGCCCCAAATCATATCTAGAATCTTATCAAAGCTTGTTTTGAAGTTAGCCCCTTGTCTTGTTTTTTTGGTTGTTGCCTAATCTTTATCTTGATGGCTTACTCTGTACATGGCTTTTTTATTTATCATTACTATGTGTTCTCTCTGGCTGAAGGCAGGTGGAGGGGAAGGTCAATTGAATGTTGAGTTCATGGTTTTGATGATTTCCCGTTGAAGTTTAGAAGAAGTTTTAGGAGCATATACTGGGTCTGATTTTATCTGTTCTATTGTTAGGATTTACTTTAGCATGTTGTCTTGTACTTTATGTGGAGTTCTGTTCACTGAGTAGGGAACAATTTAATATAAACTCGGAAGTCTGAACCATTAAAGTGGACATCACTGAGGAATTATTTTTCCGAATCCGCTTTTAATTAATGGCTTTTAGAAAGAATTATTGATAAGGACCCATTCAGATTGTTATTAATTGAAAAGGAACTGGTAACGGATTAGTGATGACCAATTTTAGATCTTGGCTAACTGAGTCACTCCCTTTCATGTTTTAGGTCTCTTGTATACATATCTTGTTAAAATCGATTCCTCTCAATGGTTGTCTCACTTTTGCCTTCAAACGTTTTATACTTGAGATATTTTGTCTGTCTGTCTGCCCAAACCACCCCCCACAAAAAAAAAAGAAACGAAAAAAAGAAAATCTGTGTATAAGTCGCCATTTATGCATATTAGTTACATTTTTGTCTTTCTTTCTAACAGGTTGTGGAGGTTTCAACTTCCAAGACTGGCAAGCATGGGCATGCGAAGTGTCACTTTGTTGGCATCGACATTTTTACTGGGAAAAAGCTGGAAGATATTGTTCCTTCTTCACACAACTGTGATGTATGAGATTCTTTTGTGTTTTATTTATATTAGCCTTTGAATTATACATGCTTATTAAAGCTCATATGTGTTCCAGGTCCCACATGTCAACCGCACTGATTACCAGCTGATTGATATCTCAGAGGATGGATTTGTATGGTTACTGTTTCATCTTTTTTCCTTCTTTATCCGCTTTGCGGAACTGTAATCTGTTTATGAAGACATTTTGTTCTTTTGAAATATATTAGGTGAGTCTGCTGACTGACTCTGGTGGTACCAAGGACGATCTGAGGCTTCCAACTGATGAAAATCTGCTTACACAGGTTAGTTAGTTTGATTCCCTCGTTTTGATCAATTCAACAAGGTTTTGCCTGGCTTCAGTAGTAGCAGACTAGCAGGGCACTGATGCAGAGGTTAAACATTTGCAGTATATTTTTCTAAATTTGTGTCAAGCCGTTAATTAAATCGATGGTCATTAAAGTGTCACGAAATATGTCATGTCCTTATTTATACGAACTACTACCATTATGTTGCACTGAATTGATTCTGTTGTGCAGATCAAGGATGGCTTTGCTGAGGGTAAAGATCTGGTTGTGAGTGTTATGTCTGCCATGGGTGAGGAGCAGATTTGTGCCCTGAAGGATATTGGCCCCAAGTGATGGTTGTGTCAGTTGAATGCTGGAAGGGTCAGGTTGGAATTGGGATAATTTAGTATTTTTGGTTATCTTTTGTGAGTTAGTCTATTGAATTAAACAGACTTTGAAGTTTGAACCATTCATGGAAGATGTGGTTAGAAGTATGGGATGGGTTTGTTTAGGAGTCTGCAGTCTATAATTTCTTATGTTAGATCAGTCCCTGAACCTCTTAAACTGTTCCATGATGTGAGTAAGAGCTATGTTGGCAAGAATGTAATGTTTATACGACTCCTTAGCACCTATTTACGCCAAGTCTTTCTCGTGTGTTACCATTACTTGCAGCTATGACTTCTTGCTTTGGTTAAGAGTAATGATAGCTTATTCATATTTTCTACTCTCTGCTTGACTGTTTAAATATGGTCGTGAAGAGATAAATATGGTCTCAGGAGACATTATCATTTACTATTAAAAACAAAATATTCTATTTAAAAAAATTTAAACTTAAAGGTGAGGAATGAGCAAACATAGGAAGTTAGAAGTCGGTATAGTGCCATCATATCACACAGGCTGCATCATTTTGGCAATAACATAATTTCTCAGTGTGCTCTGAATGAATTAGTTGCCCCCACCCCACCAGTTCTTTATTCATTTCCAGAACTCGAATGCGGCAGAAGGTACTCCTTCACCATTCATTGAAAATGAGAAATAGAAACTAGGATTGCAATTAAAAAAATATTAAAAGAGTCTTTAGTATGAATAATTGCTTGTGGTATGAGGTTAGTCTAAACCCATAGAGGGAGGAGTGGGGTATACTATTTTCCTTCATGGTATTTCCCAATCCTATGCAATAAGTAATTTTTCATGCTAAACACTTTTTTAATAAATTTTTTCAATCTCAATCCTAATTTTCATCTCTTATTTTCAATGCTTTGTATCAAATAGGGTCTAAAGTCTTGTGGAAGCTTGGCTTTATGGTTCTGAACAATAATTCTTCACCTTCAAAAGTTCCTTGGTCGCTGGAACTACCTCTCAAGTTGTGCATGGCAGTTTATACGTTTGTGCATGATGGACGATAGGAATGGAGGAACGTTATGCTGCATGTTCTTGTTGCCTATTGGTTGTAGTTATTTTTCTGTTTTCTTGTGTCGTTGTTGCTTTATAGTATTCGACTTGGGCTGCCCTTTGTTATGATTTTTGAGCTTTGCCCAAGTGACTGGCCAGCCTTTTCTTTGTAATTGCTTTACTTTGTTTAAATAAAATCATCTTTTAATTAAAAATAATTAGAAATACTTATTCTTAGGTGTGTAAATTTTATAAACTTACTTTTTTTATATATAAACTTACTTGAGAAGAGGAGGAAAATATATAGATGAATTCAATAATTTCTCTTTTCTTTTATTTTCTTACAAAGATTGCGTGTGTAATTCAGTTTCATTACTTCCGTTTTTTCCCTCTCTGTCTGCTAAATAACAGAATACATACCTGTGGTTGGAGAGAATTTGGATTCCTAATAACGGAATATTATTTTTATAGGTAAAATTCTTTAAATATTATAATAATAAAATAATTGTGGCGGCTTGGCTTGTGACGATAATTGTTATGGTGTATATCAAGATAATTAATTTGGTTAATAGAATAAAGATATTATATAACAAAATTTTATCAGGTCTTATAGAGTATAGGCCCAATGGTCCTTTGATTGAAAAATGGGAAAAACCAGAGAGACCCGTGAGTCATATTAAATTATGGGAAAATCCCGAAAAAAGTCCTTGGAATATGAGAAATGCCAGATTGGGTCTTTAAATTTCAAAAATGACAGAATGGGTCATTGACCCAATCTGTCATTTGTGAAATTCAGGCGAATTGACAATTTTGCTCTCATTTATTCATTCACTATAATGATTCAAGGAATCACTATAAGAGTTTAGGTGTTACCTAGATTCGTGTAGCGAATAACTACTCACTTTTTTATAATCAGGTGTCTTATTATTAACTACAACTAATTCTGTAATCACTAGAACAATGTAAGCATTATCTATATTTGTGTAAAGAATAACTACTCATTTTTTCATAGTCAAATATCTTATTATTGTCAGGTACTTTATTATTAACTACAACGAATCTTGTAATTACTAGAACAGTGTAAGCATTACCTAGATTTGTTTAGAGAATAACTACTCACTTTTGCTTAGGGGCAAAATTGTCAATTCGCCTGAATTTTACAAATGACAGATTGGGTCAATGACCCATTCTGTCATTTTCGAAATTTAAGGACCCAATCTGGGATTTGATACATTCCAAGGGCTTTTTCTGGGATTTTCCCTTAAATTATCCATCATTTTATTGCATGTACACACTTATATAATACATTATGTATCAATCAAACAAGTGGTAAGCATACAATTTATGGGATAGTTTATACTAATCATGTTTCATAACTAATGCTAATTAAACATGTCCTTCTGGTCCAAAAAAAAAATAAACATATCCTTAATCCTTATTGAAAATATATAAGTTAAATAATTAATTAATTAATTTAAAAAATATTAAGAAAATTAATTAAGTTAGTTATTTGTAATAAATTTATATTAATTTTTAAAAAATATTCTTTTTAGTTATTTCTACCCGAAATTATCATTGCTGATGAAAATCATATTTAGTATGTGCAATCAATATGATTATTTGGGAAAAATTCCCTTCAATCATATATGTAATATAAGTTATAATCTTTTATATAAGATCAGCCCTTTTTATAAATTACATTTTGTACTTGACTTTATCTTTTTTATTTTTATTCTCCATTAATTATATGGTTCTGCACTAATTATCATATATTAACCAAGAAATAGCCATTTCGGCCAAAATAAAAAACAAGAAATAACCATTTATTCTCTTTTTCTTAGTACACTCTCTCCTATATCTTTTTCTCATCTAATATCTTCCATCGCTTCTCTCACTCATTCTCCTTCACTCGCCCACTCGCTTTTCTCACTCATCCTCCTTCACTGACCCACTATGCAAAGATGTATTTGAAAAAAAATATTTCTTACATATTTATTATTTTTAATTAATTTTTTTTATCTTTGTAGTTCCATTATTTGTACTTCATATATATAATTGGAGGAAATATAAATTTATGAGATGCTTTTTTATTTTTTTAAATATGAGAGTTAGTTAGAGATTAGATGTGGTCATAAATATAAAATATCAATTCATTTCATCTCCTAAATTTATAATTTTTCTTAAAATATTTATATTGATTGTAAGAGCTTTTCACTAAAAAGTGATTTTAATACATATAATTAAACAGGATAGTTTAAAAAATTAACATATATTTATTATAAATAATATGTTTAACTAAATTTTTTTAATATTTTTATATTAAGAATAGGAGGAAGAAGAAGGTAATATCTAGAATTAAAGTAGCCTTCATATTTACAAACACTTTTTAAAAATACTTTCACATAAATTAACATAAAACTCTTATCACATGTTTGCTTTATATATCTCTTGTCTTAATTATAAGATCTTATTTATAGTTTATAAATAAGATTTTATAATTAGAATAATAGGTAGTATACAATAAAATCACTTAAGACTAATGGTTGTTTGTGCGGTTGTAACTTGGAAGATGCCAAATGTCAAAACGATAGAAATGGTCCCACATGATTGAGGTGCGCTTATTGAGACATCGCTGTCCAAATTGGGCCAACGACCCAAAAGGCACGTAATTTCGAAAGTCTCCCACGTCAATGATCTCAATTCACCCTCTAGGCATTGATCTAATTGGTTAAAAAAAAAATTGTCTCATAATCTTGCGAATTTAAATTTTATTAGTAATGTGAGAATTTTTTTATTAGGTACTACCTCCGGTCCTTAATATAAGACCCTGTTTGACTTTTATTTTAGTCCTAAATATAAGACCCCAATCCACTTTGTCTCTCATATTTATATATTTTTTTCCAAGGTAGTCCTTCTAATAATTATAATTCTAGCTAATATAGTTGATTAGTAAGGATACTTTAGGAAAGACAACACCTATTTATTACAAATAACTAATTTAACTTCTTTTCTTAATCTCTTCAAATTAGTCAATTGGATTTTATAATTAGGATCGGAGGTAGTAATTTATAACTTTTCAACCACTCTAAGCTATTGACTCCCTTGTGTATACCAACAAAAAAAAAATCACTCCTTTGTCCGGTGACAGTTAGCTAATCACATTACAAGGGCCCCACAACATGTTTCATATGATTTTTTTGCCCTCTAAAATCAACAACCAAATTGGTACGCTGATTTGTGTGCTTTTGCAGACACCGTGCGTGGACTTTTTGTTTTTTCTTTAAACCCCAAAAACAAAAAAAAATCCCTCAAATTTTCAGATCTAGATTCTAGCCGAAGACCAACTGTTTTTAGTCTCTCTCCATTTTGCTCAACCTTTTGTCTAATTCTATTCTTGCTCCTAATGGGTGGAATTGGTGACCAACTCCCACTTTCGTCGGCCCCGGCCAAGACGGGGCCTCCGCCGCCTCCCTCCATTAATCCCCCACCACGCACTTCCATGGACGCACTTTTCAATGGTGGGTCCTCCGGCAGCGCCGGCTTCGGGTTCAGTAGTCCTGGTCCCATGACTCTCGTTTCTAATTTCTTCAACGACAACGAGGACTTCAAGTCCTTCTCGCAACTTCTCGCCGGCGCTATGCCGTCTCCATTGATGACGACGCACGGGAAACACTCCGTTGAAGTTGGGGGCTCCGCCGGCACTGGGCTTAAGAAGGATAGGCCCTCCGTTGAGCAGTCCCCGATGTTCATGTTTCCGCCGGCGGGGCTTAGCGCTGCTGGCTTCGTCGGTCCTCCTAGGAATTTTCCAGCTTCTGAGGTAAATCAAATCTCAATCCTGAATTAGTTCCATCGTCCTTTTGACTTGAGATAAAAAAGATAGGAACAAGGTTATATATAGATTATTAATATATATTGAATTGATCAATACTGATATAAAGATTAGAACAGGTCTCAGCCGAGGCTGTGCGGGTCAACGAAAACCCATCTTCTTCCATTGGTAAGCAAGTTCAGATGATGCCACCAAGCTCTGGTACGACGTCGTCGGCAATGAAGGAATGTCCTGATGATGGATTCAACTGGCGCAAGTATGGGCAGAAACAGGTGAAAGGCAGCGAATTTCCTCGAAGTTATTACAAGTGCACGTATCAGAACTGCCCTGTGAAGAAGAAGGTTGAGAGATCTCTCGACGATGACCATGTGGTGGCCATCATTTACAAAGGACAGCATAATCATCAACGTCCTCGCCCCATTAATAACAACAAGTACGCAAAAGACGCAATCATAGGGACAACAACTTCGGATGAGAACTCAAACGCGCGAGGGACAACCTGGGAGTCATCAACAGGAGCTGAACACGAAGCAGAAGGATCAAGCGAGAGTACTGAGGAAGCTGCTGCAGGTTATTATGGCGATACTACTACTGAAATGGAGGACAAAAATGATGGGCCTGACCTAAAGAGAAGGCAAGGTTTTTTCGTTTGGTTTGACTATGGGATTATGTTATGTTGTTTGATATATATGCTAAAGAGGAGAAACTTTAATTGGGATTGTGCAGACACACAGAAGGAGGGGCTTCGCATAGGACAGCCATGGAACCAAGGATTATTGTGCAGACGACAAGTGAAGTTGACCTGCTAGATGATGGGTATAGATGGCGAAAATATGGCCAAAAAGTTGTCAAAGGCAATCCTTTCCCCAGGTGAACTATTCCCTCCCGCCTCTCATTAATCTCTTATTAGGGTTGAATTACATGAAACATTCTTAAAACTTTAAATCATATTATGAATAAGCTTACAAGTCTTTGAATAAACTTAACAACAAACCCATCTAAATTTTCAACTCTATTTAAATTGTTCTTCATTAGATGATACTACCTTCGATTCTTGATATAAGAGTTAGTTTGACTTTTATTTTGATCCTAAAAATCTACTTTATCTCTTATATTTATTTATTTTTTAAGATAATCTTTGTAATAATGGTAGTTTTAACCAATACACTTGATTAGCAATGATATTTTAAAAAAGACAACATTTATTTGTTACAAATAACTAACTTGATTAGTTTTCTTAATCTACTCAAATTAATCAACTAACTCTTATACTAAGAATCAGAAGTAGTATATCAAAACATAGATGAATACTCTAAATGAGAGTAAATTTTATCAAAATTCTTAATATTGATGTTTGAAAATATATATATATTACAATTAATCTAAGCAAAATGAGTGTGATCATAATTCTAGTGAATAGGAAGGAATTTGACATGAATGCCCTTAGCATAAATTATATTATATATATTAATTACGTGCCCCAACTCTTATTTGTCTATTATGTATTATTTTCAATGTGTGTTTTAATGGAGTGTTCTCAACACATTATAATATTCCTCTAATTCTAAATATAAGACTCACTTTCTAATATAATTTATACTACAAAATGAGTCTTATATTTAGGACTGGAGGAGTCCTTGTTATGGATCCCATGATTTGAATTTAATACACCGTAATAAAATGTTATTAAATTTGAGTTTCAACAAATAACATGATTATGGTAATCCACGTGAAAAATCCAACGAAATAATCATGTCGACCTGCTATATGGTATTTTTCAGTGAAACTCACTTTAAGACTACTAAACATACATGTCATGTAGTTCTCATTAAGTTAATCCTCCTGCAGTCTCAGATCGAACTGATTAAAAAGGTAATTATTTATGACTGTTTTTAACAATTAACAACTTCCTATCATGAAATCTTTAATTATTTGCATTCAAAACTCAAGACTATACTGCAATGTTGGGCAATAATCGTCGGTCTATGATTTTCCCAGAAAATTTAATGCCCAGATGTTTCTGTCATGTGTAGGAGCTATTACAAGTGCACAACCACAGGTTGCAATGTTCGGAAACATGTGGAGAGAGCATCCTCAGATCCTAAAGCTGTTATTACAACGTACGAAGGAAAACACAATCACGACGTGCCGGCAGCTAAGACTAACAGCCACACTATCGCCAACAACTCAGCTTCACAGCTAAGACCCCACAACACCACAATACCAGAGAGACTTAGTTTCAATGGCGGACCTATTGGGTCCCACCAGCAACAACAGCCTGTGGCACGTCTTAGGCTGAAGGAAGAACAGATAACCTAGTTTTCCTCTTATAGAGGCTGTAACGCCAGGTATAATCCTAGGATAAGACTGGGTGTTTCTAAAAGAATTAAGGGTTATTTTTGCCTTTGAAATATTGGTGGGGTTATGTGTGTCCATAAGTTCTTTCTAGCTCAATGTTATCTCGAAAATATTGAAAAAATGAGCATGTCGACTTTTACGATAAAAATATTTACAGCCAACATTAGGTTTTTTAATAATTAATGTTAGTTTTTTTTTTTTTTTACATAAAGGGCTACATTACTCTTCGTTTTTTTTAAGCATACGTTTTGACAAAAGTAACTTGCAAGTACTCACAACTCATTTTGGTAAAAATGATCCTTAACCGTTTTCAAAGTACAAGTTGTTCTTTATACTTAATGTTCTTTCTTGTAATGTTATATCAGATTATTGCTTTGATTAGAAAGCGCTGAAAATAGACACAGAAGAAACTTTCCTAAAGTTTCAACCTGATCTGGGAAGTTTGCAATTCAGTAGTCATATTCATACTTTGATGTTCTGGGCATCTTTTTCAGCCTAGAGCCGAAGTTTTCATCATGAAGACGTGTTTCATAGTTTCATCTTGCAATTCATTGCCGAGAAAAATTCTTCAATCATATGGAGAAATTTTCATGGTTGACTATGATGTTAACGCAATCAAGTTCCTTTTTAACAGATTAGGAGGAGTGAAATGTAAACTATCCTTATTTGTGATTATATCTCTATTATGATCATGGCATTGGGGACCAAGTAAAGCAATGACAGACAAAAAATCATCATTACATTAATAATATTAAAAATGGATTGTTACTGTAGAATTATTGTACAGATCATGATGATTTTTTGTGGATGCAATGTATTCTCCTGCAGGGTTCACTTCTAGTTACAGTAAAAACTAGAAACTTTATGAGGCTATCAGAACTGATCAGAGACTCTGCAACAAAATGGCTCACTTCTTCTGATGAGGTTCATGCCTGCTGCCTACAGCTAGGAGAGAGAATGCCAACCCCAAAAAAAAAAAAATGGCGTAGGTAAAGAAAAATATATTGACATCACCATCTGTGGGAACATGAACTTATGATCTCTATGGGTTACTTTACTTGACGCAGATCTCAGAGATGAGAAAAGAATGGTCATACCATTTGGGATTTTTACAGCAACATGTCATTTTTATAATATATATATTCAAACACCTTTTTATATACATATCAAAGAAAGAAAGCTACACTTTCTTCAAATTTGCTTCCTCTTCTTCCTTCTTTTCCCCCCCCCCCCCTCTCCAGATAGAAAAGGTATGGTTTTGGAACCAAATAGGCTTAATTCTTTACAAGTCATCCTTCCTCATTGTTTTCTTCTCCATTTGAAAATAGCAGGGAAAGAAGCTCGCTCTTACCCATTTAAACCACCTGAATTAGTTAGTTCTCTTGTAGAGTTACAAGAGTAGGGATTTGACCACGGTTAACAAAATCGATCTTATTTAAACGTACACAGCACAATACTTGCTCTGGCAATTCTTCTGGCTTTTGTGCCTGTTAAAGCATGGCAAGAGAGGGAATAAAAATGGGACCTTCTTCTTAAATTAGAGACTTATTCCTATCATAATTTTGTGAATAGAAAAATCAGATTAGTTTCTTCTGCTATAATATAAAATGATGCGGTAGAAAGAAAAAGAAAGAAAGAAAGGTGAAGAATACCCTATTTAGGTGAGTATGGGATATGCAAGAATTGTACTACAAAACTACGCACTTTGCAGTAGCAAGTACAAAAAATGTGCTGATTAAATACTGGAAAACATAATATACCTGGATGGTTAAGCCCAGATCAAGTATTCCATTCTTTGTACGGTCTCGAAGTGCATCAAGCCCTTTCCTAGATATGTAGCTAAATCGATGAATATCCAGGTCGATCTCAAAGTAGTTAGGGCCCTGCAATTAAAGTACACAATAAATATTCATTGAGAACTTCATCTTTTGGTAAAATAAAAGGTAGGATATATATATTTTTTTTTTATAAAAAAAAACTAAACCAAAGACATGAAATCTCTATCATGTTCATCTTTGTCTTAACATGGTAAAACATGTCTGAATTGAAAGATGTGAGCTTGTATATATATACCATAAAGAAATTGTGCTGAGGACGCGAAAGCACTGGTTTGCCGTTATAAGCATTTATAAGCCTCTGCTCTGCAGAACTAAGATGAAGATCTTCTGGGTTGACCACACCAGCCAAAATCTTTAGTCTTTCTCTAAATGGAACCGTGCTTTCTGATGCGAATCCTTTCACCTTTTCCATCTCATCAGCTACCAATTTCTGCCACAGTGAAAGGATTTCTTTACTGGGAAAATTCATTTAAATCTGTAAACTTAGCAGATTCAAAGGCAAAAGTTGCAACTATTGATGGGAGAAATTACCTTGATGCTTTCCTGAAAGTGAGAAGAGATCTCTTGGTCAAAATTCTCAGACACTTTAAAATATAACACAAGACTCATGCCCTCCCCATCGTTATCACCGAACATGCTTGCACTGTACGTAGGCAACTGGAAAAGGAAGCACAATTTGTTATATAACATCTTTTTTGCGTAACTCAAAAGGAAAAAATAATGTTCATAGAACAAAATGTGTTACAGGATGGGAATCTACCTGTATGTTTATAATAAGGAGAGAAGGTACTTCGTCGTGTGCTTTGATTGAAGGGAGTTCAATGTGCTGAGCAATGTGATTTATTTTCTTTGGGCAGACAAATAAATCAGCACCTATGGGTATGTAAGGGCTGAAATCTGGAGCAGGGGACTTCTGCTTATCTCTGCATAGTTAATTAGCAGCATATAAATTTCGATCTTTCTAAGCAAGCAAAATTTTTATCAATAGACCGGGTTCTAAACATAGGTGCATTGAACGCGTCAAAAAAGATTGACATGTACGATTCGTAGACATGCCTGAAATAGTTTTTGCCGCGGACACTAAAGACTGAAGGTGAAAGAGCAGACCAAGAACCAGGCAATGGCTTATCCTCATTTGAACATGGAATTTGAAGCCCTGATCTGGGACGATATAGAAACTTCTCAGATGCACCTGAAGTCCACACAATTTTATCATAACTTGAAAAGTTGGGATGTAGATTGACATGAAAATTTTCATATTTTACTTTGACAAGATCAAGTTATATATAAGAAACTATGTCGGAATCAATCAAGCATGAAAGATGTGAATGGAAAAGTGTTACCTTAAACCTTTGCAAACAGATTAGATTCTTATGCTTGTTAGAAAAGGGTCATGTACTTACATAGTTCAGTCTTCTCATTTCCATCAACAGATGTCCTCTTCATGGAAACCATGATAACCGTCGACTGCTTAATTTGAGAAGATTGAGAATTCGACTGAACATGATTCGTGTCGTTAATATTAAGGTAGCTCTCGTAATATTCCTCATATTTGCCCTCTGAATCCACAAAGCATGATGAACTTTCATACTGAAGTAACTGAGTATTTGTGATGCTCCCTATAGAATCACCAACGAGCCCAAAGGTGAAAAAACCACTCAGCCAAAAAATAGAAGAAATCAAGGCAACTCTTAAACAAACACGAAAGATTTCGATCAGATTTATATGCATTACCTCCGTGGACACTGATATAGTCATCATCTGAATCAGATTCTATCATGCTAGAAGAATCAAACCATGCTTCATCTTGGCACGTTCCTGCAAAATAAATTCTCATCACATATACGTATATATATGAAAAATTCTTATCAATCATCAGCATGAGAAAATCCATCAGATTTGCCAGTGCCGTAAGCATCAAGCAATGTGACAGACAAAACCAAGAGAGACAAAAGGGTACCGTTTGGATCGAGTTGACTGTGGCTGTGGTATTGGAGCTGGGTAAGATGAAACTTTCTGTTTGAGACATTGGAAATGCGACCCTTATCGAAATCAAAGTGAACAAAGTCACCATGAGGGTAGTCTCCTTTCAAAGGCACATCAGGAAGTGCAGGGAGGGCAGGCAATGCAGCAGTTGCGTGTGTCCTACGTCTCCCAAATCTGGTCCTTCTTTTATGAGTTCTGGTCTTCCTGTTTGATGTGGATGAACAGATCCCCATGGAAGCTCCCAGCTTTTTCAATAGCTTAGATAACATCATTTCGGATTGTTGTAATAAAATATATTGGTGCCAACTCAGAAAAGAAATTTAGGCACCGTGCCTATATATTCTCTCTGAGAAGAAATAACCTGCTAGCATTAGGCAGAACAAAAACAATGAAAATGCTAAAATTCAGGTAAATATAGGTATTACGAAAAGAAGAAGAGGTTTGAAAGCCAGTTTTAATGTGGGAATATCACTTTTAGATGGTTAGAACAAGCCCAGGTCAGATTTACAGAGGACATACCTTCAACAAATTGAAAATTTACAGAGGGGAAAATTTTCTTCTCATTCCAAACCAACTGTGAAACCCCCCACAACTAGACGAACCTATGAAGATCGCCTGAGAGATGAATATAGAGAGCCATCAGAAGGGGAATAAAAAAAAGTGACAAGCGTTTTGAAAATCAACCCGAAAATTCCCAGGTTCAAGCTCAAACATGCGTAACATTCTTAAAACAAAAATAACTGAGCTCATCCAGGAAAGTTTTGAATCTTCTTTTTACAAGCATTAGGCTAGCTAGGCTGGAAGAGAAAACAAAACAAGATAGAAAACAAAATGAAGAGAGACCCTATACGATTGAACACATGCACGCAAGAACACAGATTTGAAACAAATGAATAAAAACAGAAAAGGGTGACTCAGGGTTTTGATATTTCCTGAGAGAAGAAGAAGAAGAAGGACCTGAGAGGTGAGGTTGAAGAAGCGAGGAGAAGAAGAAGCATAAAGGAGGAATCGTCGTTCCCAGAAAGGAACAAGGATTCCTCTGTCTCTGTCTCTGTGTGTTATTCTCTCTCTGTTTCTGTTTTTCTCTGAATGCGAAAAGAATAACACAGAAGCTTTCAAAAGAAAAAAAAAAAAATTGCAGAGGGACAGCAACAAAGAGCTAACAATCTCAAAACTACAACACAGGGTCCGTTTTATTCGGATCCTCCTTTGTTGTTGTCAGTATATACCCCATCCATTTCCATCCTTCCCTCATTTTCTCTCCGTCTGTTATTATTATTATTTTTTTTTTCTCCTTCGTCTTCTGTGACTTCGCGGGCAAAAGATAACTGAATTCATGGAGAACACTTTTTATGTCCACGTGTCAACTAGACAGAGCCTGCGACTCCTGTATTTGACCCGCGAAATTTCCTCCGGAATTTACCGCCTACAGCATAATTTCTTGTTGACATTGAGACAGTTAGATAATTAATTTTTAAAATATTAAAAAATAATTAAATCTGTTTTTAATTATATTCATTACAACTATTTTAAATAAAAACCTCTTAATTTGTGTAAGAACACGATAAATTGGAACATTATATTTAAATTTAATATCTAGTTTTTATATTATTTTTGGTTTTAATTAGAAGACCTTATTTGTAGTCTACAAACGAAGTCTTATAATTAGAACCAAAAATATTTTTTAGACTTAAAACAACATATTTCTTTGTGGGGCTTCGGTTAGTTTTCAAAAGAATAACAAGCTTATGAGAAAGAAGATATTTGTGAGATCATAAATTTTCTATTCAGCATTTCATATTAAAATTTAAATTTAGGATGTGAAGGTTTCCCCTGTCAGTGTTGGTTTTGCGGTCAAGCTTGTCAAACATGCAGATAAGATAAACCTATAATCAAATGTAGTAATTGTAATATTCAATTAGGGAAAAAATATTTTTTAAAAATGTGATTATCCTTATTAATTAGTCCATAAAAAGCCTCGAAACTACACAAGAAGTGCATGTCCATAGATTGGTGTTCTAAGGCCGAACTTAGATTATTAGAGCTCAAACTAGAGGCAGATATGCATACATAGAGGGGGAAAATATAACTGAAATTTTTTTTTTTTTGCCAACGCTGAAAATTCAATTAAAAGTTAGCACCCTTTATATATATATATATATGGATATTTTATAAAGTTAAAATGTCTTTCAATTAATTAATTGTGATCGACTTGTCATACTCTTTCTAATACCTCAATTAATGAAATAATACATTACTTGAACTTAAACAGACTAAATCAAATATCATATTTGCAATATCAGATCACAAATTAAATCCTGATTTAAAAATAATTTAAATGTAAGTATTATTCCTATAATATGAATCAAATTTCTTATTTAATTTATACTATATTCAATTTGAAAAATATTCCTACGAAATATTGCGGACCATCAAAGAAAAATCCGAAATTCAACGGATGATATTAGAGAAATACCTCTAAATATTAAAGTTTGATAATGACCTTTTTTTTTGTGGGGGGGGGGTTATGGGAAGGTGCAAATACAGTCAGGCGACACAGAACTTTCAATCAAGAATCTTTCATATAATTCATCACCCAATCTAATATTCCTCCGATCCTAAATATAAGACCCTTATACTAGAGTGTATAAGAGTCTTACATTTAGGACCGGAGGAGTAACTCACTATACCCTTTTGCTGGTCCAAACCTCTTTTGATGCTATTTGGTACAATGAATCCATCTCTACATTTGGAAAAAAAAATGGTGAACATTTATTTAGAATAATTATAGAAGATAGATATTATGTTTATGTTCTGTGATATGTAATATGTTATTAATATTCTTTTTAGAGTATAAAATGTGCAATATAATTAACTTTATATATATGTACATCATACCAAAAGTTACAAATCTTGATGTATTAAATTAAATGAGATGTTATTTTATTTTATTTTAATTTTTTGGTGATGTGAGGGGAGAAAGAGTTGAAGGGGGAAATAGAGAGACAATGAACTTTTTTAGTGATAAAGAATGATAAAGCGAAGAGAGACCTTAAAATAGATACAAAGAGAGAGAATAATAAGTAAGAGGTAGTGGAATCACCAACCCAATCATTGAAGACGGTAAGCACTAAGCTGCTTTCAATTCCATAGCCCTGATATAGATGACACTCTTCAACATATGTGTGTGTGTTGATGTTTCCACTACTTTCATACAACTCTTTTGATTAGTTGCACAATATATATATATATATATATATATGTATATATATTACAACTGCCTTTATTGAAAGCGACCACTCAACAAACGCATTTATAAAACTTTTACTATACCATCCGTTATTTTTAATTCGTGATTTATTTGTTAGAAATTTAGGACCTTTTTTTGGGTCTATTTTTAAAGGTTGAAATGATGATGCCTGGAAAATTTATAGATATTTTTTTGGCTTATACTATTCAAAGTATTGTCAGACATTAAATGTGAGTATCTTTTCTAATCAGAATTCAAATCTTCTTTTGTCATGTTATAAAAAAATAGCATCTTCTGCTACACCCAAGATTACTGGTTTCATGGACTTTTTTTTTTTTTTTTGCTAAAATATAGGTATGTTCCTATTGAAAATAATCCTATTCGAGATATAGACACCTCCTCTAGAAATTTAAATCTTAATTTAGGAACTAGTTCCATCGACTCTTCTTTACTGACAAACATGTGAAATGGCAATGTTTTGTAGGTATGCGCTGCCGAAACCTGAGTTTTTTCATGGGCTGAATAAAAAAACCCAAACAAACATTGAACCATGAGGCCCATAAAGATCAGACTTCGAAAGTCAATTTAGGCCCAAGCCCGAAAAATCAATTCCGGCCTGGCCTTTGAAATACCATCAACATTGTGATTCAATATACGGCCAGCCCTCAAGCTCGTCCAATTCATTGTGGAAAAAGTTGGCGATCTGCACAATATGTAGCCTTATGACTCTATGGGAACCCTTTTGTTTTTTTTTCCCCTTCCATAAAGAATATTCTGATCAAAATTTTAAATTAAAATTTGACAAGAAATACAGATTTTTTAACATTAGTGAACGTCCATTTTAAAAAATTATATAGTTACCAAGTTATTATATTTAAATTTAATTGGAGATAAATTAAATATTACGAAAAGTCATATGTTGACTATATTTTAATTGGAGATGAAGCATTTGACAGTGTTGGAGGTATTGGTAATATGGATAGGAGGAGGCTGGTGGGGACAATGAGGCCAGGAAATGAGGATAGCAAATGATTAAATGCATCACATGTTTGTCTAAAGTTCTATAATGAGACATCACTCACACCTACCAATTCCCTTATTATCATTATTAATATTCTAAGGATAAATTATATAGAACCCTCCTAAATTTTATGTTATATGTAAATAACTTCCCTGATTTTTAAAATTTTACAATAAAACCCCATAAAGTTTTACATTTATGCATATAATTCTTGTGTTATTAGTTTTGTTCGTTATTTGTCTGCAAATGACTTAAAATTTAGCTAATTTAACTTCAAGTTTAAAAGGTTGTATGCATATAAAAATAAAATATAAAGAGTGTAAAATTGATGAGTTTGGGATTATATGCATATACATAGAAATTTAGAGAGTTCATTATTGAGTTTTAATTGTGAAGGAGATTATTTGCACTTTGTTTCAATTTTGGGGAAGTTTTATGTGATTTATCCATATCATTATTTTATTTTATGAAAGAAAATTGAGTTGATGCCATCAAGTAAAGCACATCCTTCTTCAGGCTTTGCCTTTTTAGTTAGTGATGGCCCTACTTCCCATGATTATGCATTGCCTTCACTTTTAGGCTCATTCATCATTTTATTTTGGGGTTCCTTTTAATTAAAGTGTTATTTTCATATATATTTGAGAATGTCATTATTATTCTCAAAAAGCGACAAATTCATATAAGCATGCTTGTTCTTCAATTTCAATGCAACTCTTCATCAAAATCTTCACGGTTTTGGTGAGTACTATTCAGGCAATTTTGATATTGGTATAATTAATTATGACCCACTTGACAATTTCACGAGTTAATAATTTTCTAAAATGGGCATGGGGGTGTGCTTCTAAGATAATATATTGTTTATTATTTTTATTTAAAAGAAGTAAATAAAGCATTTTTGAAAATTAAAAATTGTAAATTATGTAAATTCAGTTAAATTTTGGGAGAGAGTATGCACCATACACACACACATATGTTGTTGTTGCTGTTATTAATTGTGTGCACAGTAGTCTTTGCCCCTAAATGAAGCAACTTTTCTTTCGGTGTTTTTTTTTTCTTTCACTTTTTTGTTTTCTAAGTTTGGGACCACTTATTACTTTGCATTTTCTAAACAAATTAAATATACACAAAACCCCACCTTTTCCAACATTGTCACATCCTCACTTCCTTTATTTTTCTTTGCTCATATATATTATTAGCCATATAAGTCGTGAGATCTTTCATTTCGATTCATGTTGGAAAATGAAAAATTAAATAAATTAAATTTAAAATACGCAATAGTCATTTTCATAACTAGGCCATAAGATCACTGGTGTTGTGTTTATTCTGAAAACTCTCATATTTTATATAAATACATGGAAGAGTTTATCTCGATTTGTGAAAAAATGTTTTTAAAAAGACTTTTTATGATTTCCAAACACCCCGTAAACATTTTTCCCACCAAATAAGTGTTAACTATATACTCCCTCCGTTTCTTATTATAAGAGACATTTGATGCTTATGGCATGTTCCTATATATAAGAGACACTTAAAAGTTGTCTCTATTTTTTTGTATTGATTTCCTATTTTACCCCTATTTATTTTGTCTCCAACTCATACTCTCTCTCCTTCCTACTTCTCTTTCTTTTAATAATTTAATTGCTCTTTCTCATACTCTCTCCTTATTAATGGGGGCATTGTTGGAAAAATATTATACTTTTTACACATTAATTGTCTTCAACTAATTTTAACTGTTTTTTTATCAACGTAATTTAGTTATTTGTCTCTTATAATAAGGAACGGAGGGAATACCATTTTAATCTTTATTATTTGTTACTGGCAAGAGTTTCTCATACAGATTAAATAGAAAAAATCTTCTCTTTTTGCCTTTACTACGAAGAACATTAAATAGGAGTATATGTTCTCTCACTGATTTTCTCTCTTTTCACTAATTAATAGAGATAAAATTAAAAATAAAATATTAGAAAAGATACAAGTGATAAATAAAAAGGACCAAATTTTTTCCCTACAAGTAAAAAATAATAATTACCAGAGTGATAGTTGTAAATGATCCATGCTAGTTGCTTTATGGCATTTAGGATTTAGGGTCAGAACAAATGCTCGGAAATTTTGCTAAATTTGTTTGGGAATTTTTTTTTTGGGCAAATAACAAAAAAATGAAGCACATAGTCAAGTGTCAAAACATAATCTATAAATATATAAATAAACAGGTTGGCTTGAATGCCTTTGAAGGGAGGGAAGACCGTGATAAGGTGCCCTGCACAGTGACCTAAGTTGGGGCATCCCAGCCCTACGAAATATATAGGTCACGGGCATCAATCGCATGTGATCATTCATTATAAAATATTATTTACTGTATTTATTAATTTTTTTAAACAGAATGTTCCATATTTATTTATTAAAAAAAATCGGCTTCAATAAAAATTAGAGTACTAATTGATTGAGGATCATGTCATTGTAATTTGTAACTTGGAATAAAATATTTATTTTCTCATTTTTTTGAGGTCATTAGACATTCATCCCATGCTTTGCTTCCAAGTTCAAAGTCTAATTTTTATATTTTTGGGACTATTCTTTTTGTTCTCTTTCTTTCATTGTGATATTCTTCCTTCTTTTTTTTTTTTTAATTTTAATATACTACTTGCATCTTAATTACTCTTCTGACCCTATTTATAAGGCACTTTCAGCATATTTTATGCATCAATAAAAATTTTAAAATGCATTCACTCTGCATTAATAGATACTCCTCCGGTTCTAAATATAAGACCTTTATACTATCATAAATAAAGGACAAAATAGTACATACATATTGAAAATTTAATGAAGTAACATATAAATAGGACAAAAAAAATTCTCTCTCTGTATTATAAATAGGACCAGTGGAATATAAGTATTTAGGTATATAAATTATATATTGTATTTAAAATATGATTAATAAATTGATTTTGATTCTAATTTCAAAATCATATAGCAAGAAAAAGCAACCAAAAATAGAATATACTACCTCTGATTCTAATTATAAGAGCTAGTTGACTAATTTGAGGAGATTAAAGAAAGAAGTTAAGTTAGTTATTTGTAATAAATAGGTGTTATCCTTCCTCAAATATCCTTAATAATCAAGTATATTGGCTAAAACTATTATTGTTAGAAGGACTATTTTAAAAAAAAAAGCATAAATATGATAGACAAAATGGATTGGGGTTTTATATTTAGGACCAAAATAAAAGTCAAATAAGGTCTTATATTAAAGACTGAAAGTAGTAGTGAGGAACTAGTCTGTGTGATTTTTTTTTTTATTAAAATACAAATATAAAAAAATGTACTTGTAAAAACCCAATAGTCATGGTTGGGCAAAAAACCCCAATATTTATCAATATAAGTTGCGATGCTACATTAAGAAAAGCCACATATTAATAAGAGAGGGTGACCTAACCATTAGACAAAATACAACTGCTGGTAAAAAAAAAAAAAAGGACAAAATACAACGCACCAATTATTTTAGTAGAAGAAAACGAAGCATTATCGTTAGGTTTGGAAAGTTGTCATAGAAAATTTGTATTTTTATAACTGCTATTTTGATTACTAGATTTGTATTATATTATACTCCTTCGGTCTTATTTATATGACAGAGATAAGATATTTTTTTGATCTTATTCATAGGATACTAAAAGAAATTTTTTATATGGATGTACAATTTCACCCCTTATTTATTATTGTGTTGATTTTATTTATATGAGATATAATATATATTAAATAGGAATAAAATTGAAAATTCATTGAATTTTAAATGAGAGTTAATGAAATTTACAATTTTTCTTGATTTAGGTAAAACATACTGAAAGTAACTTATAAACAGGAGTAGTAGAGTATATTATATATATGTGTGTGTATATTCCTTGATCCAATTTTAATTAATAACAAAGAGTGTAGTTATTGGAATTGGTGAAGACAGAAAATACCAAAAATGGCATATATTCTCTTTTTATTGTTTGTGCTTTTCAATAAACGACACGTACAGATCCAATGGAATTAATAAATGGTCTTCCTCAACCTTCACCCAACATTGTTCTTGCAAACCAAAGCCATTATAAAAAAAAAAAAAAAAAAGAGGTCCAACATAAGAAAAGAAAAATTGGCATGCAATTTTTATGCGTGCTTTAATAAACAAAAAGCTGTGGACAGTTTATAAATCAACAAAATTCTATCACAACAAAAAAATTTCGAGCCTTAAACGTAGAATATTGTTACTACTTTATTAGACTGATTTTATAAAATTACATATTTTCATTTCTTAATCAAGTAAAAGTTATCTAATTTTTATTAAAATTACGTAAAATTTCTCTTTATTTCAAAACTTATAGTAATTCCTCTTAATTTTTATTTTATTAGCGTAATTATAACTCCTACAATTAATGAATTTTGGCAATGCGTAAAAGTAGTGTTTATGAAAATTAACTATTACAAGTGACTTTAAAGTTAATATGCGTGTATGAGTATGTGTGCGTATCTCAGAATAATAATATATGATTGCATAAATCCCTCAAAACAAGTACGGTGAAAATAGTTAAGTAACCAAAAACAGCCAATGATTAAGGTTGTAATTAGTACAGTGCCTCAAAAATATTTTAAAAATTAACGTGCCACCTTATTAGTTTGTTTTTGTTTAACAAACTGAAAAAGTCAATGTGAAGTAAGTATGAAGCAAATCTTAATTAATTAAGTTAATCACTTAAATCACAATTGTTCAACCCTAAAGTTTGTTAGGGTGGTTGTGTTGTGGACTATTGACTCATATCTTGCTACTTGCTAACTAGGCTTCTAGACATTGGTATCAAAACAAGTAAAATAAGTGCTGTCTTTAGCCTTAATATAAGAGTTAGTTTGGTATTTAATTTAATTTTAAATATAAGATTCTAATATATTTTGTCTATCATATTTATTAATTTTTTCCAAGGCAGTCATTATTCATTACAATAGTTACACATATTAAAATTTTTATCAAATAATAGTTCTACATAAGATACATAATTAATAAGGATATTTAAGTAAAGACGATACTAATTTATTACAAATAACTAATTTTCTTAATCTACTAATAATATTAAGGACCGGAGGTAGTACTACTAATAAAATAAAACTTTATATTTGATTTTCAAATTTTGTATAACATTTTATTTTGGTAATTTCATTTTTTATAAATATCTTTTTGATTTCTCATTTCTAGTATTATTAGTTTCAGATGATGATGTTTTATACTAATTATTATTATTTGAAAGAATTAAATTTAATATGTTAAAATTTGCAAATGTTTGTGAGAATTTAAAATTTTAATATTAGGTCAGTAGCATTGCAGTCTACTAACATGGATCTTACTTATAATTTTAAGCCCTTAGTACTTGTTCTTTTAAAGAAAACATCAATATTGACATTTTTTTATTAATAAAACTAAAAGAGGACTTAAGAGATTTTATAAACTTAAGAGATGAGAATGAAATCTTATACAATTTTTTTAAAAAAAAAAATCAAAGGTGCACTTTTGTTTAACAACGACAATAAGTGATAATTTTTCTTAGTTAAAAATTTCAATGAGCCAAAAAGCTTATTAGAATTGTGATAAACATATTTACAAATCACCCGTTAATGAATCAATGATCTCTGGCTAAAAAAAAATCAATGATATATTCTCACATTAATAATAAATTTTGAATTCATATTTTTAGGAGACATAAGTTGCATTTTTGTCACCTTAATCAATATTATGGATTTTTCAGCCAATTTTAAGTTTTCCATAAGATGTCAAAGCCCCTACCCTTTTTAAGTCACCTGAACTTTGTAGCCACTGATATTCACTCAAATCCATTGATGCTAGACATAAAGTTAAATACAAAGATCCCCTTAGTATTTTTTTTTTAAATATTTATTTTTGCCAACTCTTGAAGATATTTGATAACTCTCAAAAGTATTTTTGAGAAGTATTTTTTTGTAAAATGAAACAAACTCCTTTATATATTTACTTTATAAACTGTAAAAGTATTTTTGAAACTATAATTTGATTTCACGTGGAAAAAAAAAGGACAAAAATGTGGTCAAATAATGGTTAAAAGTGTAAGTGTGATGGGTGGGAGCCATTAGTGCTCTGGTCGTTTTGCCGCCTGATTTGTCGTTTATTTAAAATCCAAAATACACGTGGCAGACGGTGCGTCTTTGCTTGTGAATAAAATAAAAATGCAAACAAAATGAGAAGATGACAAAAATACACAAATCACGCCACCCTTCCTTTTAACTATTTTTTTGACCTCAACTTTTAACCATTTGTATACTATTTTTATTTTATACACAATTTCAACTCTATTACTATTTGACATATCCTAAGAATTATTCTTTATATAAAATGAAATTATAATTATCTTGACTTGATAATAAAAAAATAGAGAAAATAGGTCAAAATACCTGATTAAAAATTAATTTTGCAAATTAATTTTAAATTTGTTTAACGACTCGAATGCAATTTTCTCTTTGCTATAGTATAATTCATCTTCAATCAATTTTTTTTTCTAAAAAAGTAAAAATTTAAAATATAAAATGGAACACTTTAATCAAATTTCAAGGTTAATAATATTTCCGTGAAAATACTCCTACAGGCTGCAGAGTACTATAAAGACTAGAGAGAGAAGCAGAGAAGGAAGCAGGGCGGTAACAGGGAGCTTTTAAGGAGGTTGGTGTTGGCAATAACAAAAGCAGAACCAAACGACTGTCCGTTGCAGAGGCCTGAGGCTCATGATTTGCCCATGGAGAAAAGGTAACGCTAGCTAGCAGCAGAGGGGAAAACCAAAGCAAAAAAAAGTGGAGTCGATGGGTAATTATAGGCATTCAAAGAATCCGGGATCTCAGCCTCTGTGAAAAAAGCTTGCAAGAAGAAGCAACAATAACAACCCAAATTCACAATTCACAAAAAGGTCATTCCTTTACTTTACCTCTTCCACATCCTGGGTTTGTCATTGAGTGAGCCAGACCAAAAGCTTACCTTCTCTCTCTCTTTCTGCACTTCTCTTCCCAGTTCCCTCCCACCATCTCACTTACATGGTTTCTGTTCTATCTCCACCGGTGGTTTTTGAGGGAGATGGTGGGAAATACTGCTCGCAGTAGTTCTTTATAGTGCTCTCTACATTTGTGTCTTTGTGCCTTTTTCTGCTCTTTGAACTTCTGCATTCATCCTGAATCATGAGGAAGCATGGATGGAAGCTGCCTTACCATCCTTTACAGGTTGGTGTCAATATGTTTATTCTAATGTTTTTCTGGTTTTTCATAGGATTTTAATCGTTCTGAGAAATTTTTTCTGAAGGTGGTGGCGATTGCTGTATTTTTGGCCTTGGGATTTGCATTTTATGTGTTCTTCGCTCCTTTTGTTGGAAAAAAGATGTATCAGTACATCGTTATGGGCCTCTACACACCACTGGTAAATTAATCTCTGACTTTCCTCTGCTTTTCATATACACATTCTGTTGCCTGTCTCTTGGTCTGCGAAGGAAATGAGATCTGCGTTTGGTTCTGTCGGATTCGTGCGTTTGATAATGAATATGCGTGTCTGTTTTCTTTGTGTAATCTGGGTTCCTTTTCCTTCTATACTCCTTCTGGAATTTCATTTAGCTAGATTTTTAAAGGGTATCATAAAGTTGTGTCCGGACTTGATGAGGGCCATTCTTTTTCCTTCGTCTACCCACTTTTAGTCTCTTTCAACAAAGAGCCATTTCAAGATGCAAATAAATGCGCTGGCCTTCATTATCCTGATAATTAAATACTGCTGTGTGCTTTCGCTTTCTCAACTATATTGGCCTTCCCAATGGTTGACACCTTAGCATAGATACAAATGTTAATTCAAATTTATTTGAATTTGGAGTACGAGGTTTGCACTGAAATATCCTTGTGAGGTTCTTTACTTGAGTGTCTCGGTAATCCCAGCAATTCCACCCTTGATAGAGGGATCTTGTGTATGGCAAATAGCCGAATACTTGAATCTCTTGTAAATCCCAGAAGACGTTGACTTCAATTTCATGGCAACATGAAGCGCTAAACTTTGCAGAATTTTATCCTGGTCCTGAATTTAGGTTCCTATCTAATGACTCGCCCATTGGCGGCAGAGAAACTCCTTCTCTTGGCAACTACTTTAATTGAGAAGCAATTATCATTATCTTGAGTAATTCATTATGTTAAGAAAAAAATGGAGTTCAGAACGAGTGCAGTGACAAGTAAATACTGAGTTATGGAAGTTTTGGTGGGGAGCTGCTTAGGCATTACAGTTGAGTTGCTTATGTGGTGATCATGGACAAATGTCAGAAGTAAATCACCATCAAATTGTCAAAGTAGTTATAAAATTTACTGGAACAGGAACATTGGAGTGATAATAATGATTGTGCTCACTGCATGGCATAGCAATACAAGTCTGCGGATTCATCATCCCGTTCCCCTGCAATCCACTCACAACCTATGCCTAATTTTGTGGTACTGGCTAGCAATAGCTTTTGTAACCCACGTCGCTCTGAGAATATATATTTCTTAACTATAATACAAAGATAATTTTCTATGCCTGCATATATTTGACATCTATCCTAACTTAGCTTGTTGATATATTTCTTCTTGCTGTTTGCAAATTTGGTCCCACCTACGATGTTTTTGTTTAGTTTCTAGGTGTGGATTTTTATACTTTCTGTTGCCCTATTTCACTGTCCAAATGACCAAATTTATGATCTGATTTTAAGTGTGCAACAATGAGTAAAACAAGGATAATTACTAAATGGCATTCATTCGATGACATGTATTCCCATTTTCTGAAGAAATGTATAATGATCAGAAGTAAATATGTGTCAACTTATGAAGTATTAACCTATGATCTAACCTTTTGCCAGATTACTTGCGTCTTTGGACTGTACATTTGGTGTGCAGCTGCTGATCCAGCAGATCCAGGAGTTTTTAAGTCCAAAAAGTATCTAAATATTCCAGAAAGTGGAAAGCTTGCTGGACTAAATGGTTCTAAAGTAGGTGGGGGATCAACATCGTCAATGCATGATGCAAATGCTTCAGTGGTTGGAGCCAAATCGCTGGAGAAGGAAGAACTGGGAACAGAAGCAAGTTTGAAAGATGCTGTTATTTCAACAGAGAAGAGTGCATCAGCGTCACCTTCATCCTGCCTCCTGTCTCCTTGTGCTTTAATCTGCTGCTGTTCCAATCCAAATGATGAATCTGCTGACCGACAAAATAGTGAAGATGGCATGTTCTATTGCAGTTTGTGTGAAGTTGAGGTGAGTAACAACAAAGTCCAATTCCTGACATAATTGTTGGAATGCCTTCTGTATTAAGTGATGATGAGGTAAACAGATAATTTTACCTCAGCATTACCTGAAAGTCCTGGACGCAGCGGAGTGAGATGTGCAGTTTGTGCAGTCCTTGAGATCATACTTGACAATGTTACCTGTTATGCTATCATCTCATGCTTAGTCTCAATGGAATGCTCGAATCTTGGAACTATTACATGAATGCAAGTTTCATTCTGGAGATTCCAAAATTAAAGTTTTACATCATTGAAGAATTCTACCATTGCAGGTCTTCAAATACAGCAAGCACTGTAGAGTCTGTGACAAGTGTGTTGACCGCTTTGATCATCATTGCAGAGTATGAGGATCTGATTTCTGATTTCCTTCCTTAGTCATTTGACACGTGTTCTGAAGGCCTGTTGCATCTTTGTTTTTGCAGTGGCTTAACAATTGCGTAGGGAAAAGGAACTACCGACAGTTTTTCACCCTCATGATTGCTGCACTCCTATTGGTAAGCAAGACTATCCACCCTGTGCCTCACCTTTGCTTAACAAGTGTCAGATTAGTTTGTCTCTCTCGCAAAATATTCATGCTATCCTATACCTGTTGCAATAATTGTTGCGAGCAACATGCCAGAACCAGACGACCACCCCGGAGTAAGCATTTTTAGTTCCTAGTCATTTTCATTTTGATTAACTATTGACAGGTATATACATGGTTTGTGCACCTTGGGCTTGAGATTGCAGCTTATTCTTCAATGGACTACTGGGATATTTGTGCTCATCTGCTGTTCTCTAGAGAGAAAGAAATTTTCAGTGGATATCTCTGCCAAGTTGGGAAGCAGTTTCTCTCTGGTGCCTTTTGTTATTGTCTTGGTGAGCACTATTTATTTCTTTCTTTTCTTGTCCCTTTTTTTTAGGTGCATGAATTACATTTGTAACTGTGCTGCTTTAATTGATAGGTTCTTGTGCACAATGAATGTTTCCCCCCGGGTTCTCTTGGCTTGATCTTTAATTTTCTCCTTCCATTTTAATAAATGAATAGAGCAATTTATAATTTGTGAAAATTGCAGCTCCTATTTCTAGCAACTATTCTCATGCCCACAGCACTTTTCCCCCGTCACAGGTTCTTTGCTCAATTTTGGCTGTCATTGCTACCTTGCCTCTTGCTCAACTTTTCTTCTTTCATATCCTTCTCATTAGAAAGGTAAGCCTGAAATTTGCCTATTGATTTAGTAATCTGGTTGTATATTTGTTGCAAGTCCCACATTGCTAGCCTGTCTTTTTGAGTATATTTTGTGTAGTTGTTGGGCAACTCTGCTGATATCAGTTGGTTTTAGGCTAGAATCTAAAGTGGTATCAGTCCAATCCTCCCCCATCCATTTACATGCAGAGACATTAATGTGTTTATTTCATTGGTGTTTTTTTTTTTAAAAAAGTCTTACACAGTTTGTTGTTATACATAACAATGAACTCGTTACCCATATGAATATTATCATGATTGCTAACTCAGGGAATCAGCACTTATGATTACATCATAGCTCTGAGGGAGCAAGAACAAGACCTGCAAGGAGTTGGAGGTCAGCAGAGCCCCCAAATGTCTACCGTCAGCTCACTTACAGGATTAAGCAGTGCAAGTTCATTTACTACCTTCCACCGCGGTGCATGGTGCACACCCCCACGCATGTTCCTTGAAGATCAGGTGACTTTATAAATATATTTTCAACGGATTTATATTGATGTCCTTTGACTATTTCTGCATAAACTGCCCTGTTATTGTTCTTATAAAAGCTTAGTATCCAATGATTAATAGGTCCTCAACTGTTGAATAGCAACCTTATTATTATTTAAGCATTTGATCCTCCCAGGGCACCGTAACAGCTTCTGGCAGTAGGGGAATAATCATTAAGTTGAAGTGTGATTTTATGTCCTGCTTATCATTATCTGCTTTATTCTATACTTACCGGTCTTTTGTTTCTATTTTTCTCTTGTGGGGTCGTGGGGTGGTGATAGTTCGATGTGGTGCCACCAGAAACAGGTTCTGTAAGCTCACTAGGAAGGAAGACAGTGAGGGATGAACCAGTTAAGAAAAAGAACCCCAGAACAGTGAAAATCAGCCCATGGACATTGGCACGGTTGAATGCAGAAGATGTCTCAAAGGCTGCGGCAGAGGCAAGAAAAAAGTCCAAAATCCTGCAACCTGTAATGCGACAGGACAAGTCTTTCAGGCTAGAACATACCAGCAACTTTGGAAGCAGTGGCCGGAGGATGGTCCCGAGGATTGACAGTAACAGAAGGAGGGCGAGTAAGCGAGTTCGCCTTCCAGCTGACCTACCTATGGAGCCTCTAGCAAACGATTCTGCCATTGATATTGATAAAAACTTTGGTGGAACATCTAATTTAGCCCCTCTTCAGCCGGAAGCGCGCAGCGCATTCCAAACTAGTAGAGTAATGTCAAGCTCCGCTGGGATCATTGCTGCTTCATCTCCTGAAAGCAGTTTAGATTCTCCTGATATCCACCCTTTTCGAGTATCTTCATCAGCAGCTGAAGAAGCAAGGCAGCTAGCAGCAGGTCTTTCAGCTGCTGGCCCTGCAACTCTGAAGGAAATCCCTCTGTCAAGGTCAACTAGTGATGGGTATGAAGCTTCTGGTGGGGAAGATAGTGACAGGGTTCCTCCTACTAGGATTGTTCAAAGATCTACAAATTGGACTAATCTTCTTTTCAATCCTGGTCATGATGAAAGGTACTTAAACCCAAAATCTTCTTCTGGCCCGGTTTATGGTAGAAAGTTGTGACCAAGTTGGGAGCTTTGCTTCTGACTGTATTGTTGGGAATTTTTCATTCTTTGATTTGTGAGCCAGAGGTATTTTCAGCTTTTGGAAGCTAGAAGCTGACCCCAAAAAAAAAAATGTGCAGGAGGGTTTCGTGAAAGTTATGTGGGAACTGATGTACAAAGTTTTTAGGTCACAGGGAACTGGTGAGCTAAGCTTCTTGATACATTGCCTCCTTGCGCTAGCTGGCTGTTGTATTTCAAAATTTTCGTCAAGCAATATCCTGAGATGGCTTTTACTGATTGTCCATTTTGACATTCTGGAGAGGGACGCTGCTAACTATTAAACTATATTAACATCGACATTACTGCAAGACATTTGATTTCTTTTAAACTTCGCAATTCATTGAAATCAATCTCATATGGTCGCTAGAAAACATAACAGCTCTCGTTTGTTTCGGGAAAAAATGTTGAGCTAAAAAATAGCGAGCTCATTTTCATTAGAAGAGATATTTTCCAAACGATTTTTTGGAGGAAAATCATTGCAAAGGACCAAATTTAAAAAGTATGTATTCCTAAGCATCTTGAATTTACTGTGCATGTAGCACAAATTTATCAATCGAATTAGAACTATTTATCATTAAAATAGCGCAACTCTACAAGTCCAATGATATTCACCACTACTGCCAATTCAAGCATACTGTTTTGTTTCTTATTATAGGTTATTTGTACTCTAAAAGTTTATTTTAAAATATAAGTCACTTGTATAATTAATGATCTTTTTCTAATTTTATCCCTATTAATTTAATAAAAAATTAATTAATCTCTCTGTCCATCTCTCTCTCAACTATTCATTTCCTATAAATCCATCCCCTCCCCCCATCTCTCTCTCAACTTTTAATAAGGATAAATATGAAAAAAAAAACTAGTTAATTTAATATATTTCTTGGTTTGCGGGTTGAGAATGTAAGTGACTTATAATAAGAAACAAAGTGATATAAATTTACAAATGAAACTGCACTATGTCCTATTAGAGGTTTCCATGAATTAAAAAAAACTTCAGAATTTGGTTATCCACAACAATTTCTCTTTTTTAACAGTCTAGATTATTTAATAATCATGCATAAATAGTTACATAGCTCTTGGCATAACTCATCTCTGAAATGTTTATTTCTGGTGTACTGAGTAACGGAGATTTTGAGATATGACTAGGACCGAGAAAATTGCACAGTATCGACCTAGATCAATTATCAATAGATATAATGGGAGGAACATGCGTAAGTAACATGGTTCAATCATGTTCAATTATTTTTCCCTTCACATATATGATCGTGGGGTGTGGAAGCATATGAATAATGATATCAAGAACCCACAACTCAAATGGATTTCATTTCTTAGTGAGTGTCATTCGCGGAACCAGGGCGATCTGGGCAAATACGGACTGTTGAAAACCACAATCAATCTTACACAACCATGACTCTGTTGCAACCTATTTAAAAATTTGGCAGTCTTCCTAAGTGAAATTTTTCAATCTGGTTCCAGAGAGGAATCATTATAAAGCTAAATGCTGACGGAAATGAAGCGAGCAAAGTATAGCATCAAGAACGTGCAGCCGTCTTTGTGATTAGATAAAAGATGGATGAGATTTATGCCTGCAGGCTTAGAACAGAAACTAAAACCAATCTTTATGTCAGTCTCTTCAAACTTTGTCACCATATACATGGGCCAAACCAGCATGGTGGAATGAACCCAAAATCAAAACCGGAGCTGATCAGTGATCACCGATCTTTGAACAATGCTCAGTTTCTCATATCTATACATATATAAAAACTCTAAACAACACATTAATTACGAGTCATGAATCATGTGACTCATTTCTCAACCTCCATATAGTGCACAAATAAATAGATGTGCGGGCGCGCGCGTGCGTAAGGTCAGGAATTAGGAATCTCATAATGGCTAAATCCCACAGGAGAAACTACATCTTCAATGGGACTAAGGGCCTTGCAGAAATGAAAACCTAGTGGTCAAATATGCAACTCTCAGGCCAAGGCATGCTCAGAATATTCACAAATTAGAAGAATAATATCACAATTTCGCCCTTGTAAAATCTAGTGATGGGTCAATAAATCACCCTCCTTTCATTTCCCATAAAAAGAAACAAAACTTAGCCTTAGCCCTCAACAAGTTTGGAAACTGGAGTCTCATAAGTTGCTAAGCACATTTACAATTCAGAAAAATCATTCACTCAACTTCAAATACCGTAAATATCAATCGGCAATCGGTAACTTATCAACCTATTTAATGCTCAATACTATAGAAGGCCAAAGTTGTAATGCTTCGGAATAGCTTACTTATTGCTGAGAATGGAGGGATCCTTCTTCTAATATCCTTCTATCCTTCTATGACTAGTTCTTTCACTTTAAACCCTAATTGAAGCCTACTACTATACTAGTAGAACTCTAAGGCGAAAGAGAAAAAGAACCACAACCTGTGTTCAGATAGTGCGGGACAAGTATTCACAAGTCACACATTTTCTTCCTTCCTTCTTTCAATGATAGTATGATACATCTCAATCACATTCTTTGCCTGGCCTACTTGTCTTTAATTTCATACAATAAAATTAGTCCTCATGAACTGTATAAGATTACACAAGTATACAAAGAGACATTATTCATGGCAGAGACCTCTGTATCTATCTTTATACATGAACAAATGAAACAACATGAGGAACCTTCCCTTCATCGAAAGGCAGACTAACATACTCCCTGGCAAACTCCTCAGCAATCTCAAGAGCAAGCTCACCATGAATAGCCTTGCAATACATGTACAATACAGTGTTCGCTGCAGTGTTGTAAAGCAGAAGTAACATAAGAACAGTGGAAGTTACCACAATTTGAGCCACAAAAGCCCAATTGCTCCACATATCATTAGCAGGACTATCAGATCCCATCGTCACAATCCAACTGCTCCAAACCAAAATTCCAGCAAAGAACCCGAAAAACAACAATGAAGACAAAGCCACCCCTTTCATCCCCTTGATCAAGCCAGTACTTCGTCTCAGAGGCTCAAAACCCCAAGTCGATTCTACAACCACGACCACAGATACCAACGTCCAGTTCACTTGCAAATACACTAACACCAGCAACAGAACAAGCAGGAGAACCCCAAGAAACCAATAAAATAAGGTGAAGAGTATTCAATTTGAATCCCCAGGAGCTCAATTCCTCGAATCACCAAAAACAAAAGAAGCCCAAAAACAAGGGTGATCAAGGATATAATGATTTGAGAAACGATAACGGTGGCCAGGAGGGGTAAGAAGGAGGCGAAGATAGATTTGATTGCTGAAACGAGCTTGACGGGTCGGCCGTAGAAGCCATGAAGTATGCTGTAGGTGATGGTGCCAACCGCAGAGAGCGTCACAACGAAGACGAAAAGGGAATAAAGGAGAGAGAGCCAAAGGGTATTGTGGTCAACAGGCGGTGGTGGTTGTTGGGCTTGGAAATGAACAGTATAACGGAGGAGAACATGGGAGTTGACGGAGAAAGAATCGGTGAGGAGGCGATGGAGGGTGGGGTAAACGATGAGGGAGAAGGAAAGGGGGAGGAGGAAGATGACGGAGAGAGCAAGGAAGTGGCGAGAGTGAGCGTTGATGATGCGTTTGGATTCGGAGAGGACGGCCCAGAGGTCGAGAGACGGCCCATGCCGCGGCATCGCCATGGTGAATTCCGAATCCGATGACGGAAGTGACGTGTTAGCGGAGGCGACCGGCGAATGAAAGAAAGGTGGCGCGGGGAGATGGAGATTCCAGAAGCGTCGTGGATGCTGGATCAGGATTCTGGATGCAAAAGTTCGGGGCTTTCCCTATCTTCTTTTGTAAGAAGCAGACAGGGCGTCGCGTTTTCAGCTTTCACCTCTCAGAGGAAGAAGTTTTCGATACAAACACTACTCTGTTCTTATTTTACCGCCGCTCTATGAGAAAAAGTCGCCTTCCAAGTTCTCGAAGTTACGCAGACTACTTGTTTTTTGAAAAAAAATTTCAGGTTGCCTTCTCAATTAAACTTGAAATTTTTTCTTCAATTGAAGAATTTAAATTGGATGTTAAATGGAAGGAGATCTTCTCTTCTCTTTTTTTTTTTTCCTTTTAATTCTTTTAGAGTCTCATCTCTACTCCTGAATTAAAAAACATTTTTACAAAACTATTACTCCTCCGGTCCTAATTATAAGACCCAATTGACTTATTTGAGGAGATTAAGGAAGTAAGTTAAGTTGGTTATTTATAATAAATAAGTGTTGTTATTCCTAAAATATCCTTGCTAATTAAGTATATTGGCTAAAACTATCATTATTAGAAGGATTATCTTGGAAAAAAATGTATAAATATAAGAGAGAAAATGGATTGGGTCTTATAATTAGGACCAAATAAAAAGTCAAATTGGGTCTTATAATAAGGACCGGAGGAGTACTATAATATTTTATAAATCAAAATTTTTCTGCTTATTCCATGCTGCAATTATAAACTGTGCATATCATAATTAAGGAGTTGAGTTGTAACTAGCGAGTACTTAAAGATTAATTTTAATTGATATATTTAACTAATTTGAGGTATATAGTAGTCTTCTGTTTTTTTATTCTCGGTTTAATTCTGCAAGTGATATTTTATTTTGCAAACATGTTTTTCACTTCAAGGTCATTCAGGATTACAAAAGCATCTTCAAAACATCAGCTCAAAAAGAAATGTTTCAGTATCACCGGAAAAGGAAAAAAAGAAAAGAAAAAGGAAATGTTTCAACAAATGATCATAATTAGGTAAAATACTAATATTACTCACCCCTAATTTAAACATAGAAACCAATGATTGTTTGGTCCGACCGGTTGAATTGTCAACTGGACTTATTAACGGCTCAGTTTGGACTAAAAAACCATTCATATGGTTGAGTCGAATTGGATTGGAGTTGAGCCGTCATTAAGTCGAAACCCGGAGTTGTTCCGGGAACTGGAACAGTTTTCAGAAAACCAAACGGTTTTTTAGCCTGATTGAAAAAAATACTAAAAAAAAGAAGAAAAATAAAAAATTGACCCCCTCGAATATCCTAATATACTTTTAGACTATTTATAACCGCATAGTATTATTTCATTGAAAATTTCATATATTGTGGTGTTAAATCGGTGAGTGGCTAGCTTTTTTGTTTTGATATCTAATCTAGCTTTTAAAACAATATTTTGATTTGAATGAATTAATAATTTTTAATATTATTAAATAGTTTAAAGATACATAAATTTAAATATATAAGGTTTTAGTCTAGTTTCAATAATTTCATTATAATTTTAGATTATTTAAATGTATTTCTAAATTATTTAATAATTTGAT